CAACTCTCCAAAGCGAGCCCTCCCAAAACGGAAAAAGCATGTTACTCAGCCAAAACCAAACATAATGAAGCGGTGTTGGCCACATTGCAAAGCTGGCATGGAGGCGGCAGTTGTAGAGCCGGGAAGCACGGGCAGATCTCGCAGATATTCAATGATGTGGTGAATTTGGCTTGACTCACTGGGTTTAATTTCACATGGTTCCACTTATTTACTAAAAGAGAGTGAGTGCCGAACTCGATTGACAAAGACAGGCAGTCGATTCCCCCGCCACTCGTTTCATTCAGAAAGAGGTGGGGGGGCAAGCCGGGGGAGGACATGGTGCTCGATCTCCGCGTGAAGGCCTATGTGTGGGCGCCGACGCCCGCTCAGCGCCGTAATCTGTGTTTAGGAAAAGCTGACGATTCCTCGACGGGCTCCGTGGCGCCGTCGCACGTATCGAGCGACGAGGAATGACTGGATTCCTCCACCGAGACCGGTAGTACCACCAGCGGTCAGTCCAACCAAGGAAGGCCAGGGTGATTGGTGCATCCTCGGAGCACTCGAGAAGGATCGGAGGGCGGTCACGCGCTCCAAGTGCATGGCCCCTCTTGGATCAATGCGAGTTCGAGTCATGGGAGGATCTTGAACGATATCTGGGGGAGTACTCGAAGCGCACGTACCAGGTATAGCAACTTTGCTTGGTCATTTTGTACTGATATGCTAACCGTCTGTGCAATACTGTCATAAGTCCAGTCTGCAGATCTTCCGTGTTAAAACCAATAACACAATCACTACACGCAACAACAAGATCTGGTCATCGGGATCTAAGCATCCATTGCTTCCGAATGAATGGAAGAACTACGGCAAGACTTTCACGTGCACACATGGGGGGACGTACAAGTCGCGTGGAAAGGGGAAGAGAAAGAGGATCCAGTCTCGAACGATGGAGTGTGAAGCACAGGTATGTTGTTTTCCCAGTTGGGATCAGTCGGGTGATATTGTATTTGGTTGGGCAGTTTGGGTACGAGTCGTTTGAGCTGAAACTAACTGGGAGTAATTGGGAGTTTGCTTTTGCTCTTCTTACAGATAAATGACTGTGTTCAAGTTGATGATGATAAAGTACCCACCTTTATTCTTCACATTACCTTTGCTCTCTTGGTCCACAACCATTCTTTGGACAAACGCACGTACAATCCGTACCCATATGTGCGCACTGCGCTCGAGTCAGAAGTGGTGACCACGGTGAATGAGAAACGGCTCAAGTGGGATCCCAAGGCTCGCGCTGGTGTTTTCATGGGCTACGAAGAAGTGTCGAAGGCGTATCGAGTTTATGACATCGAGGCGGGGCAGGTGGTGATTAG